TAACAGTCTATTTAATAAATATAATGAAATATTTTTAATAAATACAAAACAAAGTCTCCTTCACAAGAAACAGAACACACTACGCCTATGAAGATAAGGATGCTTGATAATGAAGATACCGAATGACTAGTTATGACATTTTAAGGACGCAATTATAATAGACCTGCGAAGTGTTCATCAGTTTACCGATGTTTCAAAGTATTTAACGAATTGGTTCACCTGTTCGCTCGTACATCCTATCGATATGCAGAAGCTATCTTGTTACAAGGGACAAATTTTGTGGAAATATCTTACTTTTCAATTATTTACAATGGCGATGCATAGACAATAAAAAATTACCCTGGTAAGAATTTAGGTCTAACAATTAACATTGTTGCCGTTAGCTCTCATTTCAATTTGTATATGAGTTACCGTCAATTGAAAATTGTTTTAGTATATCGAGCTGAAAATTCAACCTTGGATACTGAACACTGACAGGTTGATTATTAGTGACATAATGAGCAATCAGTCCACGTAAAAACCATTTGAAAGAATGAAATGTCAAATATTATCCAGAAATAATTTTATTTTCTTCAAGTTTTTTCAATTCTGACCTCAAAAATAATTTTACATGCAAAAGGTCACAGATGAATTTCTCTTATTCGCCATGAATTTGTGTTTTGTAAACTAACATCACTTGCCAAAGCTGGTGTACCAATTTTTGATTTTTTGTAGAACCCTCCACTACATTGAAGAATACACCTGGTTTACGGTGGCATCATTCGTTGTGAGGGGAGTTGAAGCTTTAGGAGCTAGTGCATACTCTACGGCAGGATATGTTATAATAGTGAATATTTTCCCTGAGAATGCTGGAACAGTAAGGGTAGGTTTATGATTTTTTATTTTTCACTGTTTACTTTCATATAAAGTGTAAAATAGCCCAACTGACGTTCTCTTTGTTTTTAATGCACTGGACCCACATACTATTTATTTGTTTGAAGGTGGTTGACAATGTTTCATGGTGCATTTCATTAGTTCAGACTTTCATTGTCTAGTATGATATAAATTGATTCGAAATAATAATTATAATAAACAAAAAAACTGAAATTACAAAAATACAAGTAACAACAAAAAATCAAAATAAAATATTAACACGAAATGTAAATTAAAAAATTATTAACAAGAAATGAAAATTACAAATTAAAAGATTCCAAACCAAGTTAATTCACGACGTTTCAAACTAGGCATCATCAAAAATGACCTTCAACGGAATGGCTACTCCGAAGTGATGGTGGGACAGGCTTTAGCAAGAAGACACCAAGAGATCCACAAGGAAGAGAAGCCGCCACAACCAGTTCTTGTACTTCCCTACATCAGAGGATTGTCGGAAAGGATAAGAAGGATTGGGTCCAAGTATAACATCACCTATTTCAGATCTGGGAACACTATCCGTAGCAGCCTCACGAAAACCAGCCCACCAAACACGGACTGCGATTCCAAGAATTGCATTTACCGGATACCCTGCGAGTGCGGAGAATCATACATCGGTGAAACTAAGATGCCATTGAAAGTTCGCATTGCCGAGCAGAATAAACACACAGAGCGAGGAGAAACCAAGCAAATCAGGAATAGCAGAGCATGCTTGGACATCAAGTGGGATCAAGCTGAAATCATCCACACACCAGTAACACTGGTTCGGAGAAAATTCAAAGAAGCCGCATATATGTTGTCCAACAGCGCATTTAGCCAAGCTAGCATAGGGATACGCAACATATGGAAACCCCTAATTAAGCGGAACACTACCAACTCCCGCCTAACGGTCAGCTTCCGCAAAAACCGATTACGCGGAGAGAGGGAAGATGGGATAGGTGAAAGCACGAGAGTGACCTATAAATAGTCAGATCTCTGAGGAATGAGTCCAATTATCACCCGAAGACGATTGTGGATACTGACAATCGAAACGTCGTGAATTAACTTGGTTTGGAATCTTCCAATTTGTAATTTTCAGTTCTTATTGATAGTTTTTTTAAATTTCAATTTCGTGTTTATTTATTATTTATATTATTGACTTTGATATATCTCATAATATCAAACACGAGCGTGGTCTGAATAGTTTCCGACAAAGATACTTTTTTTTCAGATTATCCAATTTGTTTTCAACATAGTCTCCTCTCAAATCTACAAACTTCTTCCAGCGATGTTCACAACTCTGTAATCCCTCGAAATAGTACTCGGAGTTTTCATGTGACCAAAATCTCTGTCCTCCGAGCGCAATTTTTACATGAGGGAACAAAAAGAAGTCGCTTGGGGCTAGATCTGGTGAATAAGGCGGATGGTCAAACAGTTCAAACCGTAATTCGTGGATTTCCGTCATGGCAACTGCTGAGGTGTGAGACGGTGCGTCGTCTTGGTGGAACAAGATTTTTTTCTGCAAATGTAGCCGATTTTCCTTTTTGAAGATAATCGATTGAAATAATTCGATTACTATCCCAAAAACAGTCCCCATCGCTTTCCCAACCGAAAAACAGTTTTTGCAAACCAGTCAAAAATATAGTCCACTGTTTGGACTGTATTTTTCACTTGGATACACCCATAATGGTGTATCCAAGAATCAGATAATATTGCGCCTAAACTGCGCCAACAGAACGTTGGGAATGTTAATTCGAACACGTTTTTGGTCTAACGTGAGTAAACGCGGCACCCAACCAGCAGTTGCTCACCCATGCCTGAATGTTGATTCAATATGTGACAAACACATTCTTTTCGACATGTTCATAACCTGTACTATCTCTCTCACTTCAATTTGGTGGTTGTCTAGCACCACTTGGTAAACTTTGGCGATTTTCTTCGGTAGTTGCAGTTTTTGTACGTCTTGATGGTCATCGTCAAAAGTTCTCACGGTCACATTCAAATTCAGCCGCCACATTTCACTGTGGTAACTGTTGGTGCAGAGTCCCCATTCTCAGAACCCAACTCATCTTTGATTTGCTCAGCCGTATGGCCTTTCTAAAACAAATATTTAATGACCGACTGTCACATAACAAATGCGCGTCCAAAATTGCTGAACTTTTGGTGAGTAACTGTCAGCAGATGATCAACGATTTTCACTAGCTTTTACTAACGATTACTGCTAGTCTCATATTGACATCGGAAACTTTTCAGGCTGCCCTCGTAAGTTTGATTGAATTCAGATGAATGTGTTGAGGTATTTTTTTCATTTGGTAGACTGACTCAAAACCAACCGATCGAGTATGAATATGTAAAAAAAACATCCAGTTTTTTGTTTCGAACACTATTCGTTTCGCCAGAAGCTAAAAGCTCCACGACGAATAGGAGAATGTTGATGCATACTTGCACCAAGGTTTGTTTTCTAAAGATAGTTAAATTCAACAAGGCATTCTTGACTCCACCTGATCAGCTAGTTCCAATGGAAACTATGGCAGATCGAAACGGTACTGTCTGGAATTGGATCACAAATGCTTATGTTTTTGGCCTGTAGTTTCAGCAGCGAGACCTTCAGAAAAAACGGAAAAGGAATCTTGTTTGGTGGTCGATGTCAGAGCTTGGTTTAGTAACGAATCGCCTTTGGGAGTTACGTTAATTTTATTGATATTCGTTGTTTTAGTCTTCTGTCAGTTTCATGAATTTTACATTCGAACCCTATGGATGATTTCCTTTGGGAAACTTGATGTTGCCCAAACCACATTCTCAAGGTATTTAGTGGAAGCACGTAATCATTGTAATCGCTGCTCTATGTTTTCAGTAGGGGAGCCCAAGCGGGGATTTTGGGATTTACTAAAGCGCGGCAGATTAATATATAGGAGGATACCTTGTACCCGGTTAAGTACCTCCACCAAATATGACCCCATATATAAGGCCGCCTGTGAGGGATAAAGGATCAGATTAGTAAAAAAAATTGAGCATCAGAAATTCTCGAGCGCGTCAGATCAAGGTAGGGTGAGTTAATTACCTGCTAAAAAGTGTTTATTCCAGTAACCTGACAATTTGAGAGTGACTTAAAGAAAGGGGAGGGCAGCAGAGTTGAAAAAAAATAACGTCATTTCGACATTCTCGAGCGTGGCTAATTTTTTTTATTTTGAAGGGTATAATTAAAAAATAACGAAAAATATATAATTTGACGATTTCCGCAAGCCGAAATAACAAAAATTCGTCGATAAAGTTTAATGCGTGCAGCTGNATAGCTGAAAATTGTTCTATATATAGCTGTAACATTTAAACATACATAAGGACATATTGTAAAATAATAGAAAGGACAATTGTAAAATTAATTTAGGGTGGTACACTTGTATGGGTGGTATTACTGATTACCTACCTGTATGATGTACCTGAATAGCATAAATAACTTTAGTTTTGAGAAGTTTCTAGTTTTATCTTCTTCTTGAAGATGATCACTTGGTGATCGAAACACGTGTCGAGGTGTAAAAATAATGATTTGGTTTTGGGAAAAAACTCCAGTAATATTTCTTTTCATCCAAGCTTTGCAACCTAATATGTCTCAATGACGCTCGAGTTAATCCCCATTTTGCATCATGGGCTCTCCTGCTATTAGATAGTTTGGTCAAAATCGACGTTCTTTGGTTCTCTAGTCCTGTGATATGAGATAGAGACAGAACTGGTTGAGTCAGATTTTTCCCTTTATGGGTAATCAGTGGTCTTTTAGCAATATTCGATACTTGATAGTCAATGATTATTTTATAGGGTATACTAGAGACATTTGTGGGCCTTGGAATGAGTGCTGGGCCAGGAATCGGAGGTCTTTTATATGCGGTGAGAAAAATAACTCGGTTTCATAAATACTTTATATTAATGACTCTTTTCTAGGAAGGTTGGAGGTTTTGGGTTACCTTTTTACGTGATGGGAATCATAATGATATGTATAACGCCGTTGAATATGTGTTTAGTACCAAAGTGTGAAAGTAAGTACCGCAATTGAAATGAATGTAAATTTTTTTCGAGGCAGTAAAAATTTCATCGTAGTCTATTTCTGTGTAATGCTGCTTTGAACTAAGAAACTTTTCATCTATTGAATTGTTTTGGATCTGTCTTTCAAATTTGTCCACATATGTAAATATCTGAAAAAAAACGTTGTTATATTTGGAAATCAAATGAATCATATTCGAAAAAACTTTTTTGAGAGATTTTCACCAGTTTCACCCTTTTGAGCGAATCTGGATCGCCGTTGACGTCATTCAACAGTTCCTGAGCGATGCCCAAGTGTCGGTTTTTTGGTCAAAATTCAGCAATTTTCGAAAGAACTTCGCTTCCACACGCTTCATGCAGAAACTTTCCGAAAAAAATGCATGGCATGGGCCAACCGATATGTCTCTAATAGTTATTCAACGATTCTCCATTACAATTTTCACTACTTTCTCAACATTTTCATCATTCATGTCGTCACACACATCTTTTCAACCTTCTGTGAAAAACTTGTACCAATGTACAATTTTCTGACTCAGGATACAATCACCATATGCCACTGTCAACATGTCAACTGTCTTTGTGCCTTATTTGATCCATTTTTTTCGATAGCAGAAAATCGCCAAAGTAGCAAAACACTTCCAACTTTTCTGCCTCTCACCAACAAACTAAACATGTTAAACAATTCAAACTGTAAACATATATTGGTAACGAGTGCACCAACTTGATCAAAATTGGAAAAAAGCGTTTATCGAATATACGTAGCTCGCAAAATTTGAACATTAACCTTACTTTTTGAACAGTCCACGTTATGTAACTTGATCATACGTAATTGCTATAAAAAATTATATGTATTTTTACGAAATAAGTGAATAGGTAGAATCCACATTGATTTTTTTTCAGAAATTTCTGTCGATAAAAATTCGGGGTCAATAACGAATCTCCTGCAATTACCGCCAGTTATCACGACCTGTTTCATAATGGTCACCGCCTCCATGACGTGGGGATTTTTGGATCCGACATTGGAACCCCACCTAAGAAAGGTAATCTATATTATACATTATAAAAATGAAGGTATGCGTGCCTTTGACCCTTATTTTTCTCCATAGTCCAAACAACACATCTCAGACTGTTGTTATGAAGTGAAAGGGAGTGAAAAATGTGGAGGTTAAAACTAGAAAACATACTACTCTGAAAGGTTCTGGATCGTTCCAAAAATTTCAAATGCGTTCGAGGAATATCAAGAATGTTTTGAAAAATTCTGATTTACGTTCAATATACCTACAGTGCATTTCTTAATTATCCCCCCCTTTTATTTTTTGAACGGGTTAACTCAGAGAATTGAAATTTGGGATAATGAAGTCAATGCATGAATACTTCATTTTGAAGTGGAATTGACAGATGAAACTTTCAAGGTGGCGACTGGGCGTCATCTGGGAAAAAAATTAAATGGAAAAGGGGTCTTGTGACACATCATTTTGAAGCTCCTGACGAATACTTCACAATCCTAGAATATGAAGTCAATATCTTCACCTACTACAAAATGGCGGAACATTTTTAGAATATTCTCATTTAGTTTCGGTTTCACTAGTAGAAAGGTACCACGTCAACAATCTCTAAAATGGTCAATTCTCGTCCATGGGAAGAAAAAATTGAAGGGATTTTTATTCACGGTGCGACGCGTAACTTTCACGAGACCGAAAGGATTTTCATTGAACGTTTACCAAACAGTCCTATCTGTAGAAGATAGTTGAGGGACCTTGTATCCAAATTCACAACTACTGGTAGTGTACATAACAGCAATTGCAAAAATTGGTCAGATTGGTCTACTTATTCCGTCGTGAATGTTTGTGAAGTGTCTCCTTCTACTGTGTGGAGACTTTTGAAGAGGAATAGATATCATCCATACAAAATTAAAATAGTACACCAATTAACTGAAGATGACCCTGATCGAAGAACAGAATTCTGCGAAATCATGACGGAGACCATTGCAAGACATCCTACCTATCTCCGCAATATTTGTTTTAGTGACGAATGTACATTTTTTTATAAACGGCAATGTTCACAGACAAAATTGCCACCGTTATTGGAGTGACACCAACCCTCACGTTTTCCGGGAAACACATACCCAATATCCAGAAAAAATTAAAGTTTGGGCAGGAATATTGGGGAACCATATTGTAGGACCTCTCATTCATTGATCAAAATTCAACAGGGGAACTGTATTTGAATATGCTGGAAACTACTGTTGACCCTCTCATCGCTGAAATCGTCGAATCGAATCCTAATTAATTCGGTATGGATATTGTGTTCCAACAAGATGGAGCACCACCACATCACTCCAGACGCAAGTAGGAAACTATTTGGATACTACTTTTCCCGGTCGTTGGATTGGCCGTCGAGATCCTACAGAATAGCCAGCCCGCTCGCCAGATTTGACATCTTTGGACTTTTTTTATGAGGCTATTTGAAGCAAAAGGTGTACGGAACTGAACCTGGTTCAATAATGGATATACGGCAGAGAATAATGAATATTTGTAGAGATATTGATGTTACTGTATTCGAAAATGTTCGGCGTGGAATATCGGATAGGCTGTAGATGTACCACAAGACCCCCCTCTCCATTTAATTTTTTTTCACAGATGGCACCCAGTCGCCATCTTGAAAGTTTCATCTGTCAATTTCACTTCAAAGTAAAGTATTCATGCATTAATTTCATTATACCCAATTACAATTTTTTGAGTTGACTCGTTCAAAAAATAAAAGGGTGGGCGCATTAAAGAAAAGCACTTTATAGAGTCTTCCAACAGGTATTTCCGATTTTTTGACAATTCATAACGGCCATTTTGTTGAAGCTTCATCTGTCAAATTAGTAGTCATTTATTCAGTGTGTTTTTTCATATCACCATGGACTGATATAGCATTCAACAACACCTGCGAATGATAAAATTGTTTTATCAAAATGGGTGTTTTGTTCGGACAACGTACCGCGCGCTTCGCCAGTTTTACGGTCGCCATTATCACTCTACCGGGAGGGCCATTAGCAATGTGGTCGATAGATTTGGGTATACTGGTCAAGTAAACGATCGAGCAACACGCAAGATCTGACGAAAACATCGCCGCTGTCTGTGAGAGTCTGCAGGGGAATCCGATGCAGTCGATTTCGCGTTGCTCACAAGAAGTTGGCCTCTCGCAGACCATAACTTGGCGAATTTCGCGTCGTGACTTGAGCTTGCACCCGTACAAAATTTAACTGACCCAGGAAGGTGAAGAACCATAGACAACGACGTGTGTTCGCTGAATTGACTCTGGAACGGTTTGCAACTGACACCAATTTTTATCGAAAAATCATCTTCAGCGATGAGGCCCATTTCTGAATGAATCGGTAAATGAACACACAAAATTGTCGAATTTGGAACGATACCAATCCACGTGAGATCCAAGAGCGTCCAATGCATCCCGAAAATCTGATTAAGGCTTTCGCGGCCGAGGTTTTCAGTGTCACTGTTTTGAAGGCCGTGGATTTTTAGAATTACTTCCTGGCGTTTCGCCGGCGAGGGCTATATGCTGCTGGAGAGATTATATATCCGATGACTGGATATTACGGCTGCGTAACGCGTATTTATGTTGACTCCTCAAGTGGTCTGGTGTGATAATACCTGTACCTGTACCTGTACCTGGGTAATTGTCAATGAATGTTATTGGCAATTTACCAAATCCTTGTATAAACCTCTGAGGAAGCTAGCCACTCGTGCACGTGAAACGTCAGGAAGAAATTTCAAAAGTCCACGGCATTCAAACCCGAGAAATAGTTAAACTGCATCCCGAAAAAGGCACTGTTTGATGTGGATTTTGGGCTGGCGTTCTATGAACTTATTCATGGTTAATAAAAGTTTCACTTTTCATTATAATGTCACAAATGACTTGAAAATGATTCGAATGTTCTCAAATAAGAAAATGGTATCGTGGACTATGGTGGTTGCTACTCAATAGCTAGGATGTTAAAACTATCGGGGTGTAAACTGGTTGACTCAAAAAAAATGTGACCGTAGTCACTCTGAAATATTCTGGGTCGTTCCAGAAATTTCAAGAATGTTCTGATGTATATTTTAGTGTACTGTATCACTTGAAATTAGTTCTAGAGCTTCTATTAGAATATTCTGGATCGGTATAAACACCCTTAGAACTTTCTGAAAAGTTCTAGTATTCATTTTGGTATCATGAATGACTTGAAAATAATATCATTCTTTTTAGAACGCTCTTGAGCGCTCTATAAACTTGGAGAATGTTCTCAAAAGTTCATTTGATATCATGCATGAATTGTAAATAATTCAGATGTTCTAGATCTTTCCAAAAATTTTGAAATTTCTTGAACATTGTTTTATATTGAATTTGAGTTATGCGTACCAATATTTCACTCTGTGTCGCTAGGGTGTAAACGGTATGGGAGTAGAGACTGGTCGACTCGGAAAAATGTTTTAGATCGTTCCTGGAATTTCAAGTACGTTGGAAAAATCTCAAGAACATTCTGAAAAACTATGATATATATTTTAGTGAATAAAAGCCCCTTACAGAGACACCATCTATAGAATCGATAATAGACTCAATCCACGAATGTCAAAGGAACACAAACGACTCTTTTCTAGGAGGGCACTTGCAAAACCAAGCTTCGACATCAAATGCCTGACGAAAATCATCCTGAATATTTCATAGCAGTTTCGCAAGCATAGGTAGGTTAGGTCTGAAATGAATGGGTCTAATTCGACCCTCCATCGTAACCCGCAAGGGTTTATTGTGGCTCACATCTATTCACAATCGGCCAAATAACCCCAGCTTCTTAACGAAGCTGATTAGTTTGTATGGTGAGTGGTCTTTTAGGTCAGATGGTAAGAGTACGGATCTGCCGAACTCTAAGAACCTGATTCGGTTCCCAGCGGGGCAGGCACAAAGTATATGCTCTGCTGTTTCATAATTGTTCAAACAGAGGCGACACACACTGTCTTCCGACAGTCCAAGTCTCTGCATATGATGACTCAAGAAGGTCTCTTTTACATCGTTGTTCATCCCTACTATAGTCCAACAACTGTTTGGTATCAAGCTTCGAAGGGTGGATAAACGTCTTGGAGTGAGCCAATCCTGGAAGATTCTGCCAGAAATCCATAAATCTTCTTGTCATCCAAGTGTTCAATGTTTGTTTGGCAAAGCCCAAAGCTATGCCGATGACAGGTTCTGGTCCAATGAAGTCGCTTGCAGCACCCTCCTTTGCAAGAGAGTCAGTAGCTTCATTATTCGCAAGCATACTCAGGCTTGTCCTGTTAAGTCCAGCAATGCATTTTTCACCGTCCGATCAACCTGCTGTGCTCACAGGTTGATGTGACTGAACGAATTGTACTGCAAAAGCTGACCAAAGAATTTGAGAATCGAAACGTTCTATTTGACGAATAATGAGGCTCCAGAAGGGCACACCCCACCAAACTTCAGGCCCTGAGACTTGACGAAAACTTCATTTCAGAGCTGAATTAGTGCAAAATCGTGCAATTTGTTCTGCTAGATATCTCAAACATCCTCGATCGTGTCCGACACGAAGGAATTGTGCACAAAATACTAGGATTCGGCTTGCCTAGATGCCTGATCCAGTGGATTAGGTCCTATTGGCCGTCAGATATATCCAGGCTGGAGTGCCTCAGGTGCCGTACTTTACTTGAGTAGGTGAAGGTCTTTTTATATGCTGATGATATGGTTGCTGATGATATGGCAGATGATAAAATGCTGATGATATGGCTCTTTTTGCCTCTTCGATGGGTCGTGAGTTTAAGATTGTCCATGCAACGTGCGATGAAAAACTACACAGGTTTCTCTGGTCCCGAGACGGGTGGTTTCAGAAAGGGATATCGAATGGCATTCGCGAGTCAACTACTGGGCTCATCACTTCGAGAGCATAACTACCAAAATTCAAATGATGGTAGCAAATTTCCATCCTACAATCAATCAAAAATCCATGCTCAACCTTAAAAATACGGGTTCACTCTACAACACGATGTTC